ATCTAAATTATCAATGTGGCTTCAAAATGAAGAGCGGCGACCTCCCTCTATAAAATGCCAATTCCCATAACCGAGCATCAAATATTTCCGTCCATGTGAAAAATTGATTGAGAAAGCATATTGCCACTACTAAGTGAAGGTTGTCTAACTTTCCAAAAGAAAGTGTCATCAAAGGAACTTTTACTTTCAAACCGACATACCGAAAGATATTTACTTCGGATCGAAACTTGCCACATCTTTTCGAGTTAGTACAACTTGAGGGATCAAAGCAGTTTCATTTCGCTACAAAAAATCAAGAATCACATTCTTATGCACTGAGGCACATTTCCTTTCTTTAAAAATAGATACAACACATTTTTTCAGCTTTTAAACAATTACTTGAGCCTGAGCCTCTCTTAGTGTTCCAACTGGTACATATTCCATATGGAAAAACCCACCATAATTATGGTATCTCAACCAATTTCAAGAATTAGATTTTTTGGTATAACATACCAGTCACCAAGAGAAAAGATAATAGTATACCTAAGTAGAGACACAAACATAACCTGCATATACTTTAGGCCTAAGAGGCGAAAAGCACTTTTGTTTCAAAACTTAAAAGATCATGACACCTTTACTAACTCAAAACATTTAATGTAAAATGTAGAAGGGCCAAAAAAAAAATTATGATAGAAACTTGTGGAATCAGTGACCAAGATGACATCATTTTCCACCACACCAAGTCTATATACATTCATTGTGTCACTTAATACATAGGATGAAATAGAGAGAAACATAACACTCTTTCTTGTTAAAGTAACACATAACTGTGCATACAAGTTTGTAGTTTGTGGTGACAAGATATGAAAGAAACAAACAGCAAAAGTTCCCACATAAACTGTCAGATACTATTACCAAACCTACACATCTTCGCCCGTGGCTCTAAAGATTAGGAGACTGGACACCCAAATCTCTTAAGAGCAATAGTGCAACCATGATAAATTTTTCTTTCAAATTGTCAAACCTTTAAGAGGAATCATGCAACCAAATTAGCTCCTACTTTCAAAGCCACATACAGAAACAGGTTTCATCAAATCAAAAGCTCAACATACGTTTTTTAGAACTAGAACTGAACCGCAAAAAGATTTAAATTGCCCCAAGAAATTAAAAAAAAAATTCTTACTTTACAAAACACACTTTTATGCTCCAAAATAATAAATTGAGGCTCTCTTACTTCCCAAGTCTGGACACACTCCATATGGGACACTATAAGCAATTACGGTCAAACAAAAACAACAAAGAAACTTTGAAACGACATGCCAAAAAATATTAACCTGCAACAATAAAAAAATCCATGCATACTTTTCTTGAGTTCCAACCACCCTAGCAATTGGAGGATTTACTTTTTCCCAAGAAATTGATAAACCTCTGCTTACACATAAAATTAAATTTATTTTCAATAAACCAACACACTCTCATCCGCAAAACAATGAATTTGGGCACCTTAACTGAGCAAAGAAAGAATATCAAGTTTATTAAATTGGCTCCAAAATCAAGAACGATGATCTTTCTCAAATAAAATGAATAATTCCTATAACTGAGCATTCATGTGTTTTGTCCGTAGTAATAAATGATTGAGAAAGCACACTGCCAGATCTATAAGAGAAAGGTTGCCAACACTCCAAGAGAAAGGGTGTCATCAAAGTTATTTTTACTTTCAACCAACATATTCAAAAAAATATTTACTTTGAACCAAAAGTCCAAACTACAACTTTTAAGAGTTCTGACACCCCGAGGCACCAACAAAGTTTTACTTTGCTGCAGGAAATCCAAAATCATTTTCTTTTGCCCAATGCACATTTGTCTTTTAAATAATAGATACACAACACGCTTTTGATTTTTGAAAAAATACTTGAGATACACTTATTTTTCCAACTGATAAACTTTCTATATAGGACGCTTGTAGATTTATTTTTAGAGCAAAAGATCAAGAAACTTTAAACCCACATACCAAAGAACAATAACTTCCACTTAAAAGATCAAGGGGCATTTTTCTATAGATAGAATTATCCAAGGGACCGTCAGCATCTTACATTGCCCAAAAAAATTGAGGAGCATTAGCTCAGTCACAAACAAATAAATTTATCTTAAAAAAATAAATTAGACACACTCACTTTCAAAAAAATTAATCGAGGCCTTTTACTTTCTGAATGTGCAACATCAAAGGAAACATTTCTTTCCAAAAGATCATGAAATTCAAACCTTCAAAACATATCTCATATATCTTACATAATCTGAACATGACAGTTCCCACAATCTGGCATACAAGTTTTCCAGACGTGGTTATCATATATTAGGAAGGCAAATTACCATATCAGAAGTGGTGTTGTCACAATATCCTCTACTTTTACAGCCACACACGGAAACAAATTTCTCTTGAATCAAAAGCTCAACGCTTTTTTTCCAAAAATTGGAACTACACAAGGGGCCAGAGCAGATTTACATTGCCCCAAGAAATTAAAATCCATTTTCTCGTGCATCGAGTCACATTTATCTTTAAATAATATATAAAAACCGTTTTCAAGTTCAAAACTATAAATTGAGTCTCCTTTACTTTTGAAACAAGGACACTTTCAATGCAGGACAATAAGAAAACTATTTTTAAAATTTCTAAAAGAAACTACACATCAAAATAATATTTACTTGCAACCAAAACGTCAAAGCATATCAATCTTTATGTTCCAACCAATTGATATATCGAAGGAATTTCACTTTTCCCAAAAAAACTGTGAAGCTTTTGCTTATATACCGAGGCACATTTATTTCCAAAGAATTAGTTAATACAGTGTCGGTTTGAAAACATCAAATTGAGGCACTTTTACCGAGGGTCAAAACTGCATCCAGATTATCAATGTGGCTTCAAGATGAAGAGTGGCAACCTTCCTCACATAAAATGACAATTCCCTAACCGAGCATCAAATTTTTCCATCCAAGCTAAAAATAGATTGGGAAAGCATACTGCCATCACTAAGTGAAAGGTTGCCAAACTCTCTAAAAGAAAGTGAGCAGCCAAAGAAACTTTTACTTTCAAACCGACACATCGAAACATATTTAGTTTGGATCGAAATTTCAGGCAACATCTTTTTGAGTTGGTACAACTTGAGGGATCAAAGCATTTTCATTTTGCCACAAAAAATCAAGAATCACATTCTTATTCATCGAGGCACATTTCCTTTTATAAAAAATAAATATAACACATTTTTCAGCTTGTCAACAATTACTTGAGCCTCTCTTAGTGTTCCAACTGGTACACTTTCCATATGGAACACCTATCATAATTATGTTTCAACAAAAAGTTAAGAAATCTTAAGTTGATATATCAGAAAATATTTACTTGCAGCTAAAAGATCAAGGATCAATTTTTTGAGAATTGGAACTATTCCGAAGGACCAGATTGCCCCAAAAAATTGAGGAACATTTGCCTAGGCACCAATAGGAACATCTATTTTTTAAAAAACAAATAAAGACAACTCAGTTTCTAAAACGAGCTATTTACATTTTCCGAACTTGCATATTTCGACAAAGGACGTCTAAGGATATAAAATAAGTTTGTTTGAGAAGATCGAGAAACTTTTTAACTTTCAAAATGATTATCCAAGCACCGCGATTTTGGGAATGAAAGCTTGTTAATCTGGAATTGAAGCTCTTATACTTAGGTCCGAGAATCTCAAATGAAACATTCATTATGAATGCAAGGGCCACAGAAATAATGTTTCCTACCCAAGAGACTTGGCTATTTTTTATTTTTTACCAACTCTCCCTCATAAATGAAGCTTTAAACCCATATCAACAACCTCTCTCACATAAACTAAATCTGACAGCTCCCATAACCATGCATACATGTCTTTCATCCATGGTCATCACATACTAGGAAAGAAAATTGCAATATCTAAGAAACAGAGGGCCCAGCACGATAGCTTTCACTTCTGAAGCGACAAACACAAACATAGGTACTAGTAATCAAATGTTCAAAACAACTTTCTTGTTTATCAAGACGCATTTATTTTAAAAAAATTTATAAAACATGCTTTCATCTTCAAAGTAATAAACTGAGGCTCTCTTTTCGAACTAGAACACCATAAAAAATTATTTTTTAACGAAAGAAGCAAGAAACTTAAAACGATACAGAAAAATATTTAATTGCAGTAAGAAAATCTAGGCAAATTTTTTTTTAAGTTCAAACTATTGGACAAACACAAGGAATTTTACTTCCTCCGAAGAAATAAAAAAAAATTTTCCTTAAACACGGACGCAAATTTATTTTGAAATAATAAATTAATTTTCCTCCACTTTCAATAAAATAAATTAAGGCACTTTCACCGAGGAACAAAAGCAAATTTAGTTTTCTAATGTGGCTTCAAAATGAAGAATGACAACCTTTCTTACATAAAAGGAATATCCCAATAACCAAGAATCCATGTTTATGTTCGCGCTAATTTGTCAACTCTCTGCAAAAGAGTTGGTCAACTCTTCAAGAGAAAATGAGCTATCAAAGCAACTTTTTCTTTTAAACTTATATCTCGGGACCAAACCAACAAACCATAAAAAATTATTTTTTAATGAAAGAAGGAAAAAACTTAAAACGATACAAAAAAATATTTATTTGTAGTAAGAAAATCTAAGCATATTTTTTTTTAAATTCAAACTACCGAACGGACACAAAGAATTTTACTTTCTCTGAAGAAATCGAAAAACTTTTCCTTAAACACAACCGCAAATTTATTTTGAAATAATAAATCAATTTTTTCCCACTTTCAATAAAATAAATTAAGGCACTTTTACGAGGAACAAAAGCATATCTAATTTCCTGATGTGGCTTCAAAATGAAGAACTACAACTTTTCTCACATAAGATGAATATCCTGATAACCAATAATCCATGTTTTATGTCTGCACTGATTTGTCAACTTTCAGGGAGAAAGTTTGCCAACTCTTCAAGAGAAAATGTGTCATCAAAGCAACTTTTACTTTCAAACTGATATATCGAGACATATTTACTAGCTTTTTTACTTTGCAAACCGACAAACCATAAAAAGTTATTTTTTAACGAATGAAGCAAAAAATTCTACTTTCTCCAAAGAAATCAAAAAAAATTTCTTTAAACACATACGCGAATTTTTTTAAAACAATAAATCAATTTCTTCTCGCTTTCAATATAATAAATTAAGACATTTTTACAGAAAAACAAAAGTAAATCTAGTTTTCTGATGTAGCTTCAAAATGAAGAACGACAATTTTTCTCACATGAGATAAATATCCTGATAACCAAGCATCCGTGTTTCATGTATGCATCAATTTGTCAACTCTCTATGAGAAAATTTGCTCTTCAAGAGAAAGTGGGTCATCAAAGTAATTTTCTTTTTCAAATTGATATATCGCAACATATTTACTTGCTTTCTTACCTTCCAAAGCGGGATCCCATCAAAAATTATTTTTAACGGATGAAGCAAAAAACTTAAAAGATACCAACAAATATTTATTTCCAGTCGAAAGATCCAGGCATAGTTTTTTTTTAATTCAAACAACCAGATGGACACAAGAATTTCTACTTTCTCCAAAGAAATCGAAAAATTATTTCTTAAACATGGACACAAATTTATTTTGAAACGATAAATCAATTTCCTCTCACTTTCAATAAAATAAGCTAAGGAACTTTTATCGACAAACAAAAGCAAACATAGTTTCTGATGTGGCTTAAAAATGAATAACAATAACTTTTCTCACATAAAATGAATATCCCAATAACCAAGCATCCATGTTTTCTATCCACGCTAATTTCTCAACTCTTTGTAAGTTTGCCGACTCTTTAAGAGAAAATGTGTCATCAAAGTAACTTTTTCTTTCAAACTAATATAGCAAAACATATTTACTTGCTTTCTTACTTTCCAAACCAGGACATAGTAAAATATAATTTTTCAACAAAAGAAGCAAGGAACTTAAAACGATACCAATAAATATTTACTTTGAGTTAGAAGATCCAGACACATTTTTTTAAGATCAAACTACCAAACGGGCACAAGGAATTCTACTTCCTCCGAAGAACTCGAAAAGTTCTTTCTTAAACACGAATGCAAATTTATTTTCAAACAATAAATCAATTTTCTCTCACTTTCAATAAAATAAATTAAAGCACTTTACCGAGGAACAAAAACAAATCTAGTTCCTGATGAGACTTCAAAATGAAGAACGACAACCTTTCTCACATGAGAGGAATATCCCGATAACCAAGCATCCATATTTTATGTCCACTCTAATTGTCAACTCTCTGTGAGAAAGTTTGCCATCTCTTTAAGGGAAAGTATGTCTTCAAAGCAACTTTTTCTTTCAAACTGATATATCAAGACAAATTTACCTGCTTTCTTACTTTCTAAACCATTTTTTACTTTCTAAACCAGGACACAAGGAATTCTACTTCCTCCAAAGAACTTGAAAAGCTCTTTCTTAAACACGGACGTAAATTTATTTTGAAACAATAAATCAATTTTCTTTCACTTTCAATAAAAGAAATTAAGGTAATTTTACCAAGGAACAAAAGCAAATTTAGTTTCCTGTTATGGCTGCAAAATGAAAAACGACAACATTTCTCACATAAGATGAATATCCCAATAACCAAGCATCCATGTTTTATGTCCGTGCTAATTTGTCAACTCTCTGTGAGAAAGTTTTCTAACTTTTCAAGAGAAAGTGTGTCATCAAAGTAACTTTTTCTTTCAAACTAATATATTGGGACATATTTACTTTGAATCAAAAGGTCAAGCCACATTTTCCTAAAGTTGGAAGAACCTGATGGACCATAGTTTTATTTTGTCAAAATAAATCAAAAATTATTTCCTTCGGTTGAGGCACTTTATTTTTTGAAGAATAAATGAAAAAAGAAAATTTCCAAAAGAAAAAAAAATTAGGCATTTTACTTTCTGAACCTAGATACTGAAATATGGGACATAAAAGGACAATAAATCTATTCAAAAATATCAAAAGACTCAAACTTTCAAAGTAATAATCCGAGGAACCTCTATTTTGGGATATAAAGCTTGTTAATATGGAATCGAATATCTTATACTTTGGACTGAAAATCTCAAGTAAAAGATTTACTTTTTGAGTGCAAGGACTGTGATTATAATGTTTTAAATCTCAGAGACCCAAACAATTTTATTAATGCCCCGACATAAAATGAAGCCTCAAAACACATATTGACAACCTTTCTCCTACTAGAATAAAAGTGTTAGAAAGGCCAAAAATGGTGACCTTCAGCTTTAACAGGACAATAAAAGATGTAGGGTGACAAGGAACCCTTAGAGGACTTCCCCTCTGAGATCTTAAAAAAATGAATGATCGGAAGGGAGTGAAACAAAAGAGTATTACTTGAAAACCAGCATATAAACATTTTTAGCACCAAAACTATTATCGGCAAAGTTAATGCAAACCATCAATTCTAAAAACCTGCCATATTTCGGGACGTTGTTTGCTGCCTCTCACAAATGATCGCTCAAATGCGACAAAAAAGTATGAGAAAGCAAGTATATCGTATTATTCGAATCCAGCACTACAAGGTATAAGTGTAGATAGATATTGCATACCTCTTGAACAAGTAAACTATAGCTAATTGAACAAAGACTATAATACTGCCAGGATACAGTCCCTGTAAATCAAAGAGACCAGAAAAAAAGAATAAGTTATATTGATAGAAGTCCCATGAATGTCACACAACAAATTAACTAGTATGGAAACCATAGTACAATAAGAGGACATGATCTGCTTGCAACAATATTGATCATTTTAGTGCTCAAATGACAGAACTGAGAACGACACATAAAATGGGACAAAAACAGAGAACAATGGGTCCATCAAGGAGAATGATGAGTAGAGGAGTGGAGTAATTTGATTTTCGTTGAAAACAATTTAACTTCCTTACTGGTTATTTCCATTTCTATATTTATTAGAATTTAACTCTGGTGGAGCTAGTAAAACTTTATGAGAAACTTGGCTCGAACACATAAGTCCACCGAGTTTTGAAAAAATAATCAAAAAAATAACTAGACGGAAATGAAATTTAAAAAATACATATATCTAAATTTCATATAAAACCAGCTCTTTCTAGACCTGAGCCCATTTATAATTCTTTCTATGATTTCGCAATACAAAATGTAAGAACTGAAAAGGATCTTAGATCACTATTGAAGCATCAAAAAAACATTATAGGAAAATGAGCTTAAGTCAATAATAAGACAAATATAGAATAAAAACAGCTGCACCTATGAAAAAATATATAATAAGAGAGAGAATAACAATGAAAGCGGAACGAATTTGTTTCCGGGTAAAAAAGTATAAAAAATCTTTAGCAACTATTATTTACGATGATTTGTTCAGCAATATTTAACCCCAAGAACAAAAGAAATTCCATAGGATATTTGTTGTACAATCCCTTGACTAAGGATTACAAGGAATACCATGAATTCTGTTGAAACGGATAACTAATTTCTCAAGACAAAAATGCATCGAAATGCAAGTTTAAGAAATAAATTTCAATTTCAACATATACATCAAAACAGAGACAAATGTGATATGAATCCTTTATAACACTCAGCAAAATTGAAAACACAACAATGAAGAAAGTAGAAAGGTAAAATAACACTCACATGCCAGACAGACCTGATGGTCTGTGTATCCAGCAACTAGAAAAGACCTGGTCTCATCTCGTACACAACAACTCTAATAAACATCTGCAGCAAGAAAAAGTTAACAACATCACAATTAGGCTCTTATGTCTTGCTTCGTAATTGTCTTGCTTATCATAAATAACAAGTTTTTGTGACCACAAATGTTTGCTTAGACAAAAACAAACCTTAGAAAATCTGAAGCTCTATTATACTACTTTAAACCGTGAACAACACGAAAACCTTCCAGGGACTCTTCATCGTTCAGGCATACATTCAACATAAATCCATAAGAGAAAATAATACATACCTCTTACAAATTATTGTCTCTTTCTTTTACTTAGCTTGTTCTGCTCTTTTCTTCTGTCTCCCTTCACTGATTAGAACCCAGAAGAAGCAGAGGAAAACCCTGAATCCCCACAACAGAGAAGACCCATGAGAAGAAAGAGCCCCATTTTCTGCACTCTTCTTCCACAGAAACACCCACAGGACCCCCTTGCTCTGTTTTTCCTTCCGCTCAGAGAGGATGAAGACCCCCTCAATCTTCGGCACTCTCTTTATTGCGCTCATCAAAAAACCCCAAAGTCAGACGCCCTAAATCCTCACAACAGAAAATACTTAGAAGGAGAAGAGCCCACTTTTTTCTCGTTTTCTTCCGTAGAAAGACCCACAGGAAAACCCCCTTTCAGGCTCTTTCCTTCAACCCATAGAGGACAAAGACACCCTCAATATTCGACGCCTTCATTGTTTCCCTCATCAAGAAACCCCAAAGGCCGACATCTTAAATCCCCACAATAGATAATACTCAGGCGAAGAAGAGCCCCCTTTTCTGCACTCTTCTTCCACAGAAACACCCACAGGACCCCCTTGCTCCGTTTTTCCTTCTGCTCAGAGAGTATGAAGACCCCCTCAATCTTCGGCACTCTCATTATTTCCCTCATCAAGAAACCCCAAAGTCGGACGCCCTAAATCCTCACAACAGAGAATACTTAGAAGGAAAAGAGCCCCCTTTTATGCTCTTTTCTTCCGCAGAAAGACCCACAGAAAAACCCCCTCAATATTCGACGCCTTCATTATTTCCCTCATCAAGCAACCCCAAAGGCCGACACCTTAAATCCCCACGATAGATAATACTTAGAGGAAGAAGAGCCCCCTTTTCTGCACTCTTCTTCCACAGAAACACCCACCGGACCCCTTTGCTCCGTTTTTCCTTCCGCTCAGAGAGTATGAAGAACCCCTCAATCTTCGGCACTCTCATTATTTCCCTCATCAAGAAACCCCAAAGTCAGACGCCCTAAATCCTCACAATAGAGAATACTTAGAAGGAGAAGAGCCCCCTTTTATGCTCTTTTCTTCCGCAAAAAGACCCACAGAAAAAACCCCTTTTGGGGACTTTCCTTCAACCCATAGAGGACAAAGACACCCTCAATATTCGACGCCTTCATTATTTCCCTCATCAAGAAACCCCAAAGGCCGACACCTTAAATCCCCACAATAGATAATACTTAGAAGAAGAAGAGCCCCTTTTCTGCACTCTTCTTCCACAGAAACACCCACAGGACCACCTTGCTCCGTTTTTCCTTCCGCCCAGAGAGGATGAAGACCCCCTCAAATTTCGGCACTCTCATTATTTCCCTCATCAAGACACCCCAAAGTCGGACGCCCTAAATCCTCACAACAGAGAATACTTAGAAGGAGAAGAGCCCCCTTTAATGCTCTTTTCTTCCGTAGAAAGACCCACAGGAAAACCCCCTTTCGGGGTCCTGCAACCCATAGAGGACAAAGACACCCTCAATATTCGACGCCTTCATTGTTTCCCTCATCAAGAAACCCCAAAGGCCGACACCTTAAATCCCCACAATAGATAATACTTAGACGAAGAAGAGCCCCCTTTTCTGCACTCTTCTTCCACAGAAACACCCACAGGACCCCCTTGCTCCGTTTTTCCTTCCGCTCAGAGAGTATGAAGACCCCCTCAATCTTCGGCACTCTCATTATTTCCCTCATCAAGAAACCCCAAAGTCAGACGCCCTAAATCCTCACCAGAGGATACTTAGAAGGAGAAGAGCCCCCATTCTCTTTTCTTCAGTAGAAAGACCCGCAGAAAAACCCCGCTTTCGGGGTCTTTCCTTCAATCCATAGAGGACAAAGACACCCTCAATATTCGACGCCTTCATTATTTCCCTCATCAAGAAACCCCAAAGGCCGACACCTTAAATCCCCACAATAGATAATACTTAGAAGAAGAATAGCCCCCTTTTCTGCACTCTTCTTCCACAGAAACACCCACAGGACCCCCTTGCTCCGTTTTTCCTTCCGCTCAGAGAGTATGAAGACCCCCTCAATCTTCGGCACTCTCATTATTTCTCTCGTCAAGAAACCCCAAAGTCGGACGCCCTAAATCCTCACAACAGAGAATACTTAGAAGGAGAAGAGCAGCCTTTTATGCTCTTTTCTTCCGTAGAAAGACCCGCAGAAAAACCCCCTTTCGGGGTCTTTCCTTCAACCCATAGAGGACAAAGACACCATCAATATTTGACGCCTTCACTATTTCCCTCATCAAGAAACCCCAATCTTCTGCACTCTTCTTCCACAGAAACACCCACGGAATAACCCACTTTCTGCGTCTTTCCTTACGCTCAGAGAGGACAAAGACCCCCTCAATCTTCGACGCTCTCTTTATCACCTTACCAGAAAGCCCCGGAACTTTTTCAAGACCGACGAAGAAGAAAACCCTCTCTGCAAGAATCTCTCGATGTGTCCTCTAATCCGCTTCCCGGAGCTCTCCTTGTTTTCACGCGTAACAACTTCTTGCCTCTATGTACAAAACCGCACTCCAAACATGTTCCCCTGTTCTCAGATCCTTCATCTGGCTCCGTTCCGTAAACATATCTTCCTTGTCGCGTCTCTCGAGCCCGCCTCTTCAGGCGTGCCTTCCTGTCGTCGGCTCTTCTCAACACTCCTTACTCTTTCTCTTGCAACGCCAAAACATAGAAGAGCTTGTCTCTATGTTTATGCTTGGCTAGGAAATATAAAGAGATTATATTTCTCTCATCAAAAACCCATAAGAGCCCCTTGGAGCGTTTTGAGATTTGAAACAATGGGTTGCGGTTTGAAAGGGAATAGACCTTTCCCATAACCGACATTATGGGCAATCTTGGAATCACGGTTCCGAATTCAAGAACTACATATCTGCTTTATATTTTTCTTTTTTATCAGATTTCATACCAAAACGACATCGTTTTTAG